ATATCCTCAGTCCTGTGAGGGTCAGCACTCGCCTCTCTTATGGAACGTCCCTCGGCGTCCTAATGCACGTCAAAGGACCTGCATAAGACGTGATGAAGTCAGGGGTCCTGAGACCGCCAGAGCCTGGGGAAGAAGAGGCTGCAGGGACTGGTCCCATAGCCCGGTGGGACCGAGTGTCAGGTAAGCATATCCACTTTATTTGACCCCCATAGACTCACCCCTTGCAGTGTGGGAGTAGCTTCACTACAAGCAGGGCCGGATTTCCCACAAGGCCAACCAAGGCCCGGGCCTTGGGGCAGCAGGGAGTAGAGGGGTAGCAGGGGTGTGGAATCCCTATCTCCCGATGCCCGGGCGGGCAGTTGTTTTCTACATTTAGCCCGGCTTTGGGCAAGCAGAGGTAAATGTAGAGCGGGGAGGCCGCCGCTTGTTTTGTACAAGTGCTTCTGGCGATGTTGCCGAGATCACTTGCATGCAGCCTGCAGGTCTGCCATTCTCCATGGGGGGGTGGGGGGGGGAGGGGGCACATTGAGGAACCTGGCCTTAGGGCAGCAGAGAGAGTTAATCTGGTCCTAACTACAAGGGTAAGTTTTGTAAGTTCTTTAATGTTCCAATGAGCAGGCAGACTTTAGGGTTAGGGTTTGTTGACTTGACTAATTTACTTAAATCATTTTTATATATTTTCTTTAAGGGCATACCGGGTTTTTAGATGGCACAGTGTTTACATGAATACACTGCTCAAAAATCGTACTATAAGCAATATTGTGTAAAAATGCAATGTATACTTTATACTTATAGTCATTTTATACCTTTCCAATGAATTATTGTGTTACTTTTGCAGTGTTTGTACCGCTTCACCACCTGAGGCCTGCAGCCCGCTTATGTCAAAGTGCCTCTGCCTGCGCCAGTCACACTGACAGCTCAGCTGGTTTGTAAACACAGCCGTGTCACCCTGTGTGCAGGCCCGGATTCCCCACTAGGGTTGCCACCTGTCCAGGATTCACCCGGACAGTCCGGGTTTGGAATGCTGTGTTCGGGTTTCATGGCAGCTGAAACCCGGACACAAGATGTCAAGCAGACTAGGGCACCCAAAATTTAGATCGGGGCTACTGGCCCCCCCACTGAAAATAGTCTCAACTGTGATTATTTACATATGAATGGGTGGCACTATTTACATATGAACACGCCACAGCTCATTCTCCCCGAAAAAAAATGTTCGCACGTCGCTAGAGTGTTCGGGGTTCCCTTGAAGAAAAGGTGGCAACCCTGTTCCCCACAAGGCCACCGAGGCCCGGCCTCGGGGCGGCAGGGCGCAGAGGGGCGGCAGCGGTGTCCTTGTGGGGAAGTTGCCCTCTCTACAATACAAGCCGAGCTACGTGTAGAGTGAGGCAGACGATTTCACATATAAACAGTGTGCAGCCTTCTCCCCTCCCCCCAGCACTTACCTCTCTCCTCTGGTACCGTCCTCTGCCGCCGAGTCCCGAGTCTCTGACTGCGGTGAGCAGAGCGGCCGGGTTATAAGTAAGCCCGCAGCTCCGTGTACACTGTAGACAGTGAGAGGGGAGAGCTGTGCCGTGCCGTGCCCCTGCTGTGCCGTGCCGTGCCGTGCCCCTGCTGTGCCGTGCTGTGCCGTGCCGTGCTGTGCCGTGCTCTTCCTCTCTCACTGTCACAAGATTTCCAGCACAGTGCTGTGCTAGAACTC